GCCGAGTGTCAGCTTGAGGTGGGCTGGGGGTATGGCTGTGTAGGAGCTGCATCCATACATGCATTGGTTACAGCTCCCTCGCGTGTCCTGTAGAGGTGTCTGGACCGGAGTGACGTCACATTCTGGCTCCCGGCACCTCTACAGGACACGCGAGGGAGCTGTAACCAATGCACGTATGGATGGAGCACCGTCGCAGCACAGCAACCCACACTGGACCCCAGGCTGAGGATCCACTCCAGTTGTCAAAAGGTAGGGACACTGGGGATCTTAAATAAATAAAATATGTGTGTGTGTGTGTCAGTGTCTTTGAGGGCCCATTCACACTAGTACTGTGCGTTAATTGCACAGTCCCATGCGATTCAGCACTCTGTACCATGCAATCGCACCTACCGCAGGTTCTGGTGCCGGAGGTGCCTTGCCATTTGCATGCACCGGATCGTGCGGTACTGCAATGCCGTGCTTCACAGTGCGGTACGCCACTGGTTGTGACCCAAGTCGCAACAATCGCCATAGCGACCTAGGTTGCCGCTATGGGGCCCGGCCAGGGCATCCCTCTGATGCCGCGCGAGCCGCCTAGGTCGCTATGGCATATCAGGGTGCTGGCTGTGAAGAGGAACGCGCCGCTGTTAGATCGCCGACAATCTGTCAGTGATGTGCGCAGCGGGCGCGTTCTTCCTCCACAGCCGCTGCTGAGCTGTGACAGCCAGCTGCTTCTGCAGAAGAGGCTGGACCCGGCGTTTGCCGTGGAGGAGGCGGGGTCCGGGGACAAGAGGAGGCGGGGCCCGGCGACCACGGAGGTGGACAGTGCTGAAGAGGTAAGAGGTGTGCAGCCCTCCTGAGACCCTGCAGAGCCCACCATAGAGAGTCTGTGGTGGGCTCCGCAGGGTCACTCTCAGGTGGGCTGTTTGGTATATCAGGTGGGCTCTGCAAGGGGTATAACTAGACATCACAGGGCCCCATAGAAAATGTTGCTATGGGGCCCTGAGATTTCTAGTTACGCCCCTGGTCACAACTTAATGACCAAGGACAAGTGGTGGGTCCTGAGGTAACGCAGGTTGAGAACCGCACTGCTCTGGTGGATGTCTGTATATCCAGCAGGGTGCTTGGCATTGTCGGTGTACTCCTCAGTTGGCACAATCGTTGTACAGCACTAAGTATCCTAACCTCCTTCTCTCCTATTGCAGGAATTTGGCCATCCTGGGCGCTGGTCTGATGGGAGCCGGGATTGCACAGGTCTCTGTAGATAGAGGTCTAAACACTATTCTGAAAGATACGACGGTGGAAGGGCTGGGCAGAGGACAGCAGCAGGTCTACAAAGGGTAAGAGAGACGTTTGTACATCCGACACATAACATTTCTCATCTCTAGACTACTGGACAATAGGTGTGTCGGTTTTGGTGATGAGAAGGGCTTGGGGTCCCCAATGTAAAGTGCTGCAGAATGTGTAATGGCCATTTCCTATACATGGAATAGTGAATGGGCGATCTGTAACGATGCAGCAGGTTACCCTTTATGGATGCATTGAAGAGATCGTCGGTATGTTACTCTATACCAGGGGTAGCCACACTCCGGCCCTCCAGCTGGGGTGGAACTACAAATACCATGAGGCATTGCAAGATTCTCACAGCCACAGACATGACTCCCGGAGAGAGATGCATCATGGGTTTTGTAGTTTCACCCCACAGCTGGAGGGCCGGAGTTTGGCTACCCCTGCTCTATAGCTTCTGTAAATGAGGCAAACTGACA